CACTTATGATAGAAAATGTCAACATTAACCACAACATTAACAAATGAATTGCTAGGCTTGTTTTTGACATAATCCATAATTTGTTATGCCATAAATTTTTTATTTTCTTCAAAAATATTAAATCTTTTATTAAGGAACATAATAATACCTTGTATGAATTCTACAATTCTATATGTGAATATCTTCAAAACAATAAGTACCCATAGTTTTTTAAACCCCCTTCCCCAAAAACAAAACAAAGCAAGTAATTACAACAATTGGAATAGAAATAATTACGGGGTCCAAGAACCTTTTTTTTTTTTAACGTAATCTAAAATCTCATTCAAATAGGCAGGGGTGTACTGCCATTGGGGTAAAATTAACTATAGAATTCAACAGTCATCTCTAACCCAAACTAAAAAGGGAGCAAAAATCTTCACTCAACAAAAACAACTATAAAAAACTAAAATTAGAGATGAAAGCAAGATCTATGGATTGAAGAACATTTAAATGAACGAACATGCGTATGTGTTTTTTCAATTTGTTACAATATAATCTTATTTTGTCCAATATGTGATGAGTATATTTTTTTTAATAAAATTTGAATAGATTCTGGGATATATTTAATTAAATTGATAATATTTTATGTCTATTTAATTATATTTTTATATCTTTTTCTTTACTCAGTTATATGGTAAGAAGAAATCTCGCTATAAATTTTACCCATATCCTATGTTATTTTACAGGAAATATTAGATTTAGGAAAAAGGAAAATTGAAAAACAATACGCGTGTACAAGAGGTGTGAAGAGGCTGAAAAGAAAAATAAAATAAAATAACAATATAAAGGCATATAAACTTGAAAGTTAAGCAGTGGTGTCAAAGGAATAACAAGGTTCAAAAGACCAAACTAGTTACTAAACCAATTAAAATAGTAGGTCAGATCATGGTCAATTTAGGACTAAAACAGTCATGATTTATGAAATGTAATTTAAATAAAATTTTCAAAAATATCCACATTTAATTATAAGAATAATTCAAAATAAGTAATACTTAAAATATATTATATTAAAAAATAAAAATAAGGCATGTATATATAGCGTATTATAACATAATAAAGGAACCAATACATTTTTGCTACCCTCGGCTTCTTCAAACATAGGAGATGGTTACATCGAAGAATGTGCAGTGCAATTCAAATACTATTTTAATATTTGCATCCAAGATATGTGAAAGAACTGGAAGTTTTTTGTGTTTTATTTGGCGTCGGATTCTTAGTTATTCTATAGTGTCTTGCATGTGGTTTTTTGGCACGTTAGGATGCTTTTATTGTTGTTTATCATATTAAGGAAAATGACTTTTAATGCAGAAAGGAAGATGATCGATACCACCAATACCAATGCTCAATAAATCAGCAGGACAACTTGATATTACATAGGGTTTGCAAAACTTACTTGGCCACACAATGTATCATGTAATGCAGTTAACTTGCTTAGACCAGTTTAGTAAAGCTGATTTGAAGAAGAGCTCTGGTTCCCAGCCATTACTTTTTTTTTTTAATCGCCAAATTTGCTCTGTTGAATTTCTAGATATAGTGGGGCTATTTTAGTTTAAATTACCCATTAGAGTTAATGAAGTATTTTTAGTGGATGTGAAGGGAAACCTAATTTTTGAAACAAGCAAAAGTGGATAAACTCAGGTATATAAAACTCTTCCTTCACCAGCATACACAAGAAATCACTAGGAAAAATAAAGAAAGAAAGTCTTAATGCAGATAAGTCATTTATATTCATAAGGACCAAGATGGAAATAAATCCACCACTACCCACCATCCACTAGGGATTTATTTATTTGGAAGTTCGAGATGAAATCAAACTCTACTTAGAAAAGGGAGAGAAAAAAAGCATGCCCTGTTGTCACATGATTAGTAAGATAGTTTAGCCACAGGGAATTTAGACAGAACAAAAACATGTTTTACACAATTAGAAGATCAGCAATTCAGCATCAATGGAATTAAGACCAATCAACACTATGAAATCCAGAGATGGGCGCTGAATGAAGACAGAATCCCTATCCATTGGAGTGGTTTAATCATGAAGCTTTCTTACAAGACCATCCCTTTGAGCTTTTTTAGTCAGATAAAGCTTACATTTTCCATGCATGCAATTTCCAATAATTGACTCAATTCTTTCAGAGATTTTCCTAATTTTGGTTTAATTTGACCTCCACCATCCAAGCAAGCTGGTTCAATTCACTATAGTTAAATACGTATCCAATTTCCAGACCTCATGGAAAGCAGAAGTAAATGGAATTTCTTGTAAAAAAGAGACCATGACCTGAAGGGCATGCAAGGATCTCCAAGAAACCGTATTCACATTTCCTACTTTTACTTTTCCAATAATATTTTGCAGGTTTCGTAAACCATAACAGAGCAAATTTCAACGCTGTTTTCCCCTTCACCTGCATAGACAATAAGACATAACACCGAGTCAGAGAAAAACAACCTGTAGAAACTATTTAACAATTCTGACATCAAGAAACCTCTGGCTAGGGTACAGGACAGTATCAAGTTACCAATAGTAATATTGTGGTAAGGATAACTAATGGATACTGAATATAATCGACCATTTTTTCTGGATCATTAATTGGCACTTCAAAAACAGGATTAAAGGGGGAAAGGAATCTGCGGAATTGAAGGCCATGGGGGGTGTGGGCAGAGAGGAGAATAGCTAAGCTCACGCACTACTCCTTCCAAAACTTTAAGCAGCACAAAACTTTAGAAATTATTCACCAGTGATGAGATTACCCACGCAGTTAGGAACCGGTCTCACTAGGAGGAACAAGAACAGAGGAAAGGAGAGAGGACCCACAAATCGTAAAGCCTTGAACCCATGGAGGAAAAGACGCGACACCCATGGAATAGATGAAGGCGAGCTCCACGGACCAATGGTGAAATCGAGACCAACACACGGCGGCGAGACAAAATTCGCGAGACGCAGACCTAGGCGGCGAGTGACGTAGAACCACGGCTGCGAGAAAGAGAACGAGTGAGCAAGAGAGTGAACAAGGAGGGAAACGACTTTTGATCGTCGGCAAGAATCCACGGGGCTGCTGAAGAGAGAGAGGCTACAAAAATGAGATGAGGTTTTATTCCAAAAAAAAGATATTCAGGAAAAAAATGAGATGAGGCCGGAAAGAGCAGAGTAAGTGTTTGTTCGCGCGCGAAGAAGAGACTCCGGGGAAAATGAAAGCTCTGCCGCACTGGAATTTCTCTTCTTCTTTTTTTTTTTTTAAATTCATGGGCCATTAGGGCATCAGGCGCCAGGCATAATGACTCCATAATTACTATTACCGTGTCAATTTGAAGTTCATAGGCTCAGCGAACAAAAATTATTTCAATTATCAGGAGTTTTTTTTTTGCCTGAATTATCAGAAACTAACTCATAATTCATAAAATCGAGTTTAAATCTTACTATTGATATAAGAATTTTATTAGTAAGTAATCTGTAAATACTTGTTCAGTCTAAAGACTAATGTTAGTTATATTCACCTAAATATTTTTTTTTCCGGGAAAAAGAAAAAGGAAGTTCATGGACGCAAAAAGCCAACAACTGATGCCATCGTCAGTTACATTTTAACCCCATAGGCACGTGCTATAAGGCTATAATTTTCCAGTAATTTTTTTATATTTTCAATTTAAATCATTTATTAATAATTTTTAAACAGAAAATTGATTTTATTTACGTTCTGGTCTATTTAAAACAAGTCTAATTTTAAAATAATAAAATATGCGCTGTTCTAATTAAATATGAATAGTTAAGATGAAATGCATAGTGTAACTTTTTATCCTTTTCTTTTCCCCTTTTTAATTGAAACATGAAAATTTTTATTCTTAAATAATATCATAATAAATATATAATACAATTAATAAAAAATTTAATTATAAATAAAATTCATCTATATAATATCTTAATTAAGAAAATGAATAATCTGCAAAGAAAAAAAATTTTATAAACACATGCCTGGCATAAAATTTCAGCAAGAGCGATGGTTGGTTCATCTTTCGTGGAGACATTAGAGCAACATGTTAAGTAAGATAAAATAGGATATGAATAGAATTTATATGAAGGTTCCTCTTTTTTATCTTAAATTGACTAAAGAAAAGAAAATATATGAAAGCTGATCGAATAGATATAAAATATTTATAAATTGAATTAAATATATCCCAAAATCTACCCCTGTTTAATTATAACATATATATAATTATCAGATATTATAGGGGAGAGTAATATATGGTAGATGGATATTATATTGTAACAAGTTGAAAAAATACAAAATATTTTTGTATGATTAACTTACTTTGAGACCAAAAAATAAATGATCTTTAAGATAATAAAATATCAAAAAGATTATCTTAATTTTCGCATGAAAAATCCTTTAGTTGTTCAAATTTAAAATTGGATTTTCATCCTGATGGTCGAATTTTCATCCTTATAGAGAGGATTTTCAAAAATTTTGTTTATATAAGATATTGGAATCTTGGGAATGAAAGACACCAAAAGAGAGACAGAAGTTGGCAGAGATACTGAGCGGCCGGTGATCTAAACAGTGTTTTGCATCTTGAGGTATATATAACGCGAATTCCTTCAATTTAAAATCGCACTATGAATTTTGCTTTCTTTCAACGTGTTCATGTCCAATTCTAACTCTTCTATTGTTGTTTCTGAGTGAAGAATTTTAGTTATTTTAGTTAAAATAAGGATATCTGAGGTTACAACAGACTTGACACTATTCTCTTTTCAGGTCGAGAAAAGTTAAAAAATAACCTTTCTAACAAGTGTACTTCTTAATATTTAAATTTGTGCTTTCTGATAGGTGAGGTCGCTATCACCTCAATCAATAGCTAGTTGAAAATTTTTTAGTCTTTTTTATAGATAACTTTTGAACTTTATAACTACATCTCTTCCAATTTTTTTCAATTAAGTTGCTATTTTGATTTTCTTTTTTTAGGAAAGAAAGGCTATGGAGTCTCATCGTGTTGAAGATATTCGCATATACGAGTGTAGACTTCATAAATGGGACCCAGCTATCCAATGCGATTTTCTTGATGGGCATCCAGAATCTCCTCCCCCAGAAGAGGAATACTTCCAGTTTAGAGTTGTTTTGAAAGAACGCTATTACAATATTTCAAACATGCATCATGACAGAACAGCAGATACAAATACTACTGAGTACGATTTTTTCAGCATCCCATACGCGTCAAGGAAGGAAGCAACGGATTATATGATTTCTATTCTTAATATTCCGGAAGCAAATCGCAAATCCATGGCGCAGCAAATTCTGGATTACATGGACTTCGTGCCTGATCTTGACAATTCATACAACTTGTTCGTTATGATGCTGGTGAATGTTGATATTTTTTATCACGACTGTGATAAAGCTATGGAAAGAGGTGCCAAGGAGGACCAAGGTTGCAGATTGAAAGGAGTGAAGATTCAAGAGGAAGAGGTTGGTGAATGTGGAATCTGTTGGGAAAATTTTAGAATTGACACGGTTCAAATGCCTTGTTCCCATTTATTTCATGGGAACTGCATTTTAAGTTGGCTTTTGAGGAAGAATAATTGTCCCATGTGTCGCTTTCAAATGCCTTCAATAGGGACGGATTCCTAGCAGGTTTACTTTTAAAATACAATTTGTTCTCCAAGTTTATTTTTGGGCTGGTCTATTGTATTGGGTTCTCTCAGCTTTTTTCAATTGGGCATTTGGGCTAGATACAACGGGTAGGCCTTTCAGTTGTAATCCATTCACTTGAATAAAATGTTTTTTTGTTTGTTTGTTTTGTTTGTTTGTCTTCCTTTTTGTGGGTTTTTTTTGGACACTGGCACAGCAGTCTAAGAGTGTGTTTGGCATCACGGTGAGACCCTCCAAACTGACTCCACCACTGGCAATTGATGAAAATAGTAACTTTTCGTCTAAATGTTTTGTTTGGAATGGCGGTAGAAGTAAATGGGCTTATGGCTGAAAAGAGCTTTTTTTTCCAAAAGCTCCAATCCAATGATCCATTGCTTCTGACTTCTCCACGGTAAGTTTGGATAGGTGGGGTCCATGAGTAAGGGAGGAGAGAGGATACTTTATGCATGATGTGTGTTTTTCTTTTCTTAACCTAACCAATTGAGGTGGTTTTTAATATTATTTTCAGTCCTTAATATAAGATCTTATTTAATTTTTATTTTAATGATAAATATAATTAGTAAGAAGTAATTGATAAATTTTTATATAGTAAGTATAAATATTATAGATATAAAATGTTTGTATTATGATTTAGGGACAATGACAAAAAAAGAAACTAAAATTTTGCAAATGTCAAATAAGGAATATTTTTTTCAGTCATTTTATATCTAAACTTACCTTTTATTAATTATCCAAACAAGTTTTAGCTTCTCAAACTGACTTTTTACAAAGTCAATCCAAATATAAATCACATTATACTATCTGAGTTTTACTCAATCTAACTTCTGTAAAAGTCAGATTGAAAAAAAGTTACTTCTGCCACCGCTATCCCAAACACACCCTAAAAAGTAAAAACAACAACTCTCCTCTTCATAGACTATTTTCCCCTTGAATACAATGGAAATACATAAATCAGGAAGAAAACAACAACAAAAAAGTCTAATAAGAATAATAATAAGACCAATAATCTTATTGGTCAAATTACGCCTCATCAATTCAAATTTTGAATAAAAATAAAAAATGAGGATATTTATTCTATTTTTTTTAAAATGTGAAATAAGTAGGTATAAAAAATACATGTGTTTATACCATAAACACTTTTGAATCATCATAGGTGAGACCATCTCGTCCCAATATGACTGGGTCCGAGCTAAATCGATCGGGACAGATATACCATGAACAATCTTACTATGATACTATTAAGTGATATGTTAGACTTGACTGTTTAGATCCCATAAATAAAAATGGATGAAGCAGGATGAAAGATGCATGATTATTATTTCTGGGTCAAAAAAACTACACATACCTGCGCTCACATATAGGCCTATTACAAGATGTACCAACCAAGAAAATAAACAAGAAGAAAACACACATTACAGCCAAATATAACTAACCACTTGGCACAATAAAACTAATGTATTTTTCACAGGAGTGGCGGTTGGGAATCAGAGTTGAACCCCGTTAAAAGATCCTTAGAGTACTGAAGAAAATCCTTTAGTAAGGTGTCTTTCTCTCTACTTTTTAGATATCCATGCAAGCCTAATTGGATAATCTAAAATCTATATCACATGTAAATATTGACTTATGCACCCAGTACACTTCCTCAAATCAGAGCTAGGTCCAAAGTTGAGCAAGAGAGAAACAAAGAAAGAAAGGTAAATGCCACTATGATGGATTCAGTGGCAAGGGATACTCTTCTAATCCAACCTCAATAGATAATTTCGCCACCTCAAAAGGTCTGAGAAATGATACAAGGATTGCTGAATGATGGGTTTGTTACACTAAATTTTCCCAATAATTTGGCCCAAGTCCCTGAAATTTTTAGATACGACCCATTACTATATTATATACTTAAACTACGCCCAACCACATGGAAAAGCATGACAGAAATTCAAGTCAAATAGATAAAGTTAACAGATATAGAAAACTGCTTGAACTTTATTGAGATTCAAAAATGCAACAGATCGAAATACACTTCCATGGCTGAGCTCAGTGTTACATCATCATCAGCATAATCCATTACATAATAGTGTTCATCACAAACCTCATGCACCTCATTGTTAGCAAACTAAACAGACCCAAAGACGTTCTTCATAGTTTTCTTCAGCAAATCCTTGCTCGTATCCTGAAGACTCGTAGCCCACAATAATTGAGATTTCTTTGTTGCTCTGTTAAATGTCCAGGTACATAGTGAGAAGTTATCATGATTTACCACCACTCAATTATATCACCAGCCATATACAACCAGTCGCTTCAATAATTCTGTTATTTTGTTAATTTGTATTTTGAGATACATGTACTGCAAAGTATGGAAAAGTAGTTGAAATTTGAACAAGACAATGCACAAGCAAAAGACAGAGAATTTAGAACAGGAATACATGAAATCCCAAACTTCAATTAACAATACATTCTGCCCATATGCTCACAATAGCTTTATAACCCATATTTTAATTCACATAACCCATATTTTAATTCACATACCTCATCAAACTATGACATTAATTTTAATCAACCCAATGGTACCGATATGATATACTGTGTCATCAAAGCACTGGACTCCAGACTACGATCACAGCAATCTAACTAACCAATGAAGACAAACAATCATAAGTCAATAGCTTTGGCTGCTTCAGATTTTTAATACCATGATAAGCTTATTTTTTACAGAGCGCAGAGCATGAAAGGGGCACTGAGCAGTTGATATAACATTTGCCAAGTTTGAATATTCCTTAACTTGTACGTGTCCTGACCTTCAATTGTGAACAAATGGGTTTTTAAGAGATAGCAGAAAATTGCGCTGTGGCGCCAAATGAAACGTTGTAGAACCTAATAGTACAAGAAGAGAGCACATTTAGGCTCGGCCAAGCAACTGGAATTTCACATCACTTATCAGGATTAAACATACACCAACTGAAAATGATTTTCGGAGTACTGCATTCTAATTCAGATTTCAATCACCCTACCTAATTAAGTTCACAATGGCAGAGGGTTATCTTTGATATTGGAATACTGACGCATGCATGAAAAATTAAAATCGATTTGAAAAGTAACATATCATTAATAGCAAACACATTTAATGCCGGATGTATTCGTTCTTAAACATTCGAAAATATGAACATGAGTTAAGATAGATGCTGTTTTCTCAAAACGCGCACACACTGAGAAAGAAGTTACAGAAACCTTCACCATTATTTTCTTCGACGTGGAGTGTTTCTTGAGGATCAGCTTTCTTATTCTTCCTTCCAGCTCGCTTCTTTTGTAGCTTTACCAGCTTCTTTCGACTTCTCTTGCCCTTTCCCATCAGAATCAGGTCTTCAATGATGGCAGCTGCCACCGTTTCTTCGTCTTCATCTGAATGGATTTTGGTTCTGAACCTCCCACCCAAAAACCGAACAATGGCCGATTTCTCACTGGCTATCGATGATGTCGCCATGGAGAATTTTCTTGTGTCCTTCTTAGCAGAGTGCGTAGCCTGTGAAATTGGAGGCACGTACGGGTTCTTGATTCTTTTCTGTTTTTTCCCAACAAAGAAATGACAGGTATAATAGCTAATAACAGAATTTTGGACCCAAGTTTACTGGAGTTTACTAAGCCTAAAATAATATTATTTGAGTTAATAAAATGACAATTGATTAGATTTATTTATTTTTTTTGAGACGAGATTAGATTTATATTTTAGTAACTCTATTTTATTAGTGTGATTTATTTTGTCTTTTTGTATATTTTTAATTAATTATATTATTATTTCAATCATAATTATGCTATTTTCAATTTAATCATGTTTAGATAACTTATTTTTAAACTTCTATCTCAATTGGTTTAATGACTGATATAAGAATAAAGGTAGAGTTTTTTAAAAAAATTTATGACAAATTTAATATTTTAAATTATTTTTGTTAATATATATAAATTAATTAGCAGTAAATTTTATTTAGCATAAGGGAGAGTGTGCTTTGATTTGCAATTAACCCCATGGTTATTACTTATAAACTATGAAAATGGAGATGGCAAAAAAAAAAAAAAGCTTTAAAAATTGAATTGGACAGTTGCAGCCCTGAAAACAAAGATCATTGGACAGTAGCTACTACGTGTCATAACATCCTATTTTATAATCTTACAGAGTCAATTGTGAGGTAGGGTATATATTTAAATAATATATAATGATTTATGAAAAATTCACTGAATTTTAAAATTAATTTTGTACATTAACAAATTGTTTACAAAAACCTAGATCAAGTTACTTATATTCATTATGTCTTTTTTTTGCTTCATGTAAATTTATAATTAAATGTTATTAAATACTAATATTTTAAAAATAGGACACACGTGATTATGTGTATTTGGAGAATTTGATATAATAAATATGAGAAATTTGATGTAAGTATTGTCCTATATATTATTTAGGAATGGATTGAGTAATATTAAAGGTGGTAAATATTAATTAGAAATATTTTACAATTTTAATAGAATGAGCCATATAAATATTATCCATATTTTGATTAGATCTTAGGGTTAAGATAACATTTACAGAAAAATTTTGTTTTCATGCAGTAATTAAAATATTATTAACATAAAAAAATATGCTTCCTTTTTTGGGAAGGGAAAAAAAAAACAGAGAGTGACCCTCCCCCTATATTACATTCTCTTATAAATCCTCTTTCTGCCTCACTCCGCCACAAGCCCTCTCGTCCGCCGCGCCGCATTATCCTTCTCCGTTCTCACCCACTGACAATCTCTCCGTACTTCACTATTTTGTCTCCTTGAATCTTTTGCTCTTCTTGCCTTCGTCCGGTTCTCCCTTGCATGCACAACAATCGTTTCACACCACCCCGCCTGCGAATACGCAGACACATTGTTTCTTTCTCTCTGCTCCCTCTTTTTTGTCTTCTTTCCCCTTTCAATATATGTGCGTGTCACAAAGACCAGTCCAAAACCCATTT